GGAAGACAGAGTGGCTGACTTAGAACAGTACAGCAGAATGAATGATGCGATCATAACTGGATTGCGTGTGAGACCCTGCACTTATGCCAGCGCAATGGCAGGGCCCTGTCTGGCTGGTGAGCCGTCAATCGACGAGACGAAATATGCAGAAGAACAGGTGACCTCTTTCCTCTTGTCGAAGGAGATAAACGTGGACTGTGACTCCATTGAAGCGTGCCACCCACTCCAGAGATGAGGGAACTACAACAGACCGGCGATTATCATGAGGTTCAGTAACAGGAAGAAAAAAAAAACTGCTCAACTGAAACTGGGCAGGTTGGTAAAGGGGTCAGAGGTGTTCATTACCAAGCACTTGACGAAGAAGAATGCCGAAAAGGAAGGCCTGGTTCCTGAGGAAGCAGGTATTGTTCATTCAGCACATCATAGAGCAGGATAAATATGACTGATCTCTTTAAGGAACATTTGGAGCACAGTGGATATCACGCACAACTTTCACCATGTCACTAGTTACAGGAACTGTTCATCACTTATGGACACAGCACTAACACCTACAACTGTTAGTGCTGATAACCTGGAACTGAAAGTATTCAGCTAAACGGATTATAAAAATCAGGACATGGAAGACAGTGTGGATCTAGATAACAACTTCTTCTTTGACAGTGTTGATAACTGCTGCTATTACACAACTGATCAGTACAGGGAAATTTAAGTAGATTTTCTCTCATACATTTCTACAGCATTTTTATATGCAAAATTCAGCATCAAAGGCTGTCTGAACCAGTTTAAGCAGCCATTCAGCATCATAGCCATCTCTGAAACATGGATCACTCATGAGAAAGGGGATTATTCTGAACTGGAGGGTTATGAATTCAATTACATTAATAGAGAAGGGAAAACTAGGGGAGGAGTAGCTGTGTATGTTGACAAAAAATTATAGTAGTAGAACATATGACCAGAGTGACTAAATATGTATTTGGGTGTTTAACAGTTGAAATATTTATGGAAAAGTCAAAAAATGTCATTGTTAGTTGTTAAAGTAATAGTACACCCAAAACATGATTAGCCTTCATTTTCTACTCACCCCCATGCTGAACAACACCTGGAGTACTTTTTTGATATCTCAAATGCATCCAGAGATCTGGGAGGCTTCTTGCTGTCTGCTGACATTCAAATAATGGAGGTGCCCAGCGCCCGAGGCAGAAAGGTCCATAAAAGTCCACAAAAAACATTTCAATATTCCTCCATACTGCTCGTCCAATGTATTCCAAGTTTCCTGAGTGGGTAGCATCCAGAATTTACTCGAAACGAAGTCATTTAGAATGTTTTTAGAGCATAAACAGTAGTGTATAGGATTTCCTGAAAGCGCGCACATGCGCGATCACGACGCTACGGAAGCCGGCACACCAAACCAGCGCATTCAGCTCAGCAAAGAACTCATGCTCTTCCTCAACACTGAAGTCCTCAGACATTTTTCTTTCGTTGTTTCTTTCTTTGCACAGGTAAACGGCACATTTCTTCTTCTACGCTTGCATTATTGGAAGAGCAGACGCTGAATGCGCACTTTCATCTGGTTTTCGCTGCCGGCTTCCGTAGCGTCGTGATCGCGCATGTGCGCGCTTTCAGGAAATCCTATACACTACTGTTTATGCTCTAAAAACATTCTAAATGACTTCGTTTCGAGTAAATTCTGGATGCTACCCACTCAGGACACTTGGAATACATTGGACGACCAGTATGGAGGAATATTGACACGTTTTTTGTGGACTTTTATGGACCTTTCTGTCTCGGGCACCATAGACCTCCATTATTTGAATGTCAGCAGACAGCAAGAAGCCTCCCAGATCTCCAGATGCATTTGAGATATCAAAAAAGTACTCCAGGGTGTTGTTCAGCATGGGGGTGAGTAGAAAATGAAGGCTAATCATGTTTTGGGTGTACTATTCCTTTAATACAGAGCTCCTAGTTCCAATATGGAAAAATTTAGAGAATGGTTTGAGCAAACATACACAGGTACAATTCAGGTCTTCTTCATCTGTGGGGATTTTAATATTGATCTACTTTTATCAAATAATCATAAACCTACTGAAGAGTTCATTAATACCATGTACAGATTAAGCCTTTTTCCCAAAATCACTAGACCCAGCAGGATCACACTTAACGGTGCCACATTTATGGATAATATATCTACAATTATCTATTAATAGTTCAGCATCTTAGTGATCATCTTCCAGACTTTGTCAGCGACAATTTCTATAAAAAAAAAAAAAATAAAGTCAAAAGTAATCCACAATTTAAAAGAGAAAGAACAGAGGACTCACTCAAATCTTTCAAAGTGGACTTATTGAAACATAACTGGGAATCAGCTTTGCAAGAAGATAATGTCGATATAGCATATGATCATTTTCTGAGAGCTGTCCAATAATGATGTCTCATAAAAACAAATTCTCAGAAGCTCCATGGATCACAAAGGGTTTAAGAAATGCCTGCAAAAAAAAGAAGAAGTTTCATAAGGAATAAGTCTTTGGATGTAGAAAATAAATATAAGAAATATGTTGGGATCCTGAGGCTTGCCCTTCAGAGGGCGCCGAGGATCCCCTCCTGTTGTATGTTTTTCTGTTGGGACATGGGGTTACTGTTGGGATCTGGAGATCTGCCACCTGTCTCCAGCAGAGAGCGCTGTGGGTCTCCTGGGCTGGGGCCTCCAGCACACCTGAGGATCATCAGCCCATCAGGGGACCTCCTACATAAGCAGCAGCCAGACCTGTCTTCCTCGCCGGAGTGTTGACCAGTTTTGGTTAGCAGAACCTGATCCTCAGCCTGCATCTAGAATCTCTGTCTGCTCTGGAGAGTAACCAGATTCTAACCAGCCTCTGTCTTCTCTGCTCACAGGAAAGCCCGACTGAAGTCTGTAGCTCTGGGGGAGCTTTGCTTGGAAACCTGCCTGCCCAAGGAAGCCAAACCTGAAGACAATCAGTCTGAATTCCCCAGCTAGTTCTCAAGGGAGAACTAGAACTTCAATTCAAGGTCTGAACCTCATTAGCCTGAAGCTAGACGCTGCTGCTGCTGAGCTCTCTGCTGAATCCACAGTCTCTGGACCCAACCGTTTCCCTCTCTCTATCGATCAGTCTGAACCTCATCAAGGTACAAACCAGAATCAAACCTCTGAGTAATAATCACCGCTGCCTGGCTAACCAAACTATCCATCTCTGCCGATAACTCTGTGATTCCAGTCCCGGACCAGTACCAGAACCTGCTCATTAATTATTCTTGTGTTTTTCTCCAAATAAATTATTGAACTTTTACTCCGTTTCCTGTGGTGTTCTGCGTATGGGTTTTAACACAGAGACCCATCATGACAAAATATAAGAATAAATTAACTGCTATTCTACAAATAGCTAAACAGGATTATTAAATTAAATTACTAGATACAAATAAGAAAAGTATCAAATGGATTTGGAATGTGTTGAATAATTCTATCAATAACAATTTTTAGGACATTAATGATGTTCATCATTTCAATAAATATTTTGTCAGTGTGGGACCTAAACCGGGAGAAAAAAATCCTGGATCCTACAAAAACTGGAGCTCTGAATGTAACATTAATCAGAATGAGAAGTCCTTATTCAATGTTTCTCACTGCTGATCAAGAAAAGGAAATTGTTGATATTGTCAATAAATGTAAAAGCAAGAGGTCAGCTGACTGTGATGACATTAATATGCCATTAATTAAGATAATTGATTAATCGAGGTAATTTAGAAAACTATTCAGCCTTTGACTTACATCTGCAATATGTCATTTTAGTCGGGCAAAGTTGTGGACAGACAGCATTTCACAGATTACATGCCTGTTTCTGTCATGTTGCTTTTAAAAGATCTGACCCACATGCAGAAAACAACTCAGAGAATAAATAGGTTTATTGAGGTGAACCACAGGGGGTGGAATCTGGAACTCAGAGAGCAGGTGAACCTGAATTAGAAGTGAGAATGGAAATTCACAGCGATTAGTTAAGGGGAAGTAGGAAATTGGATTGAGTTCTTTAATACAGTGGAAAAGGGACTCACGTTGGAGGGGGTTTCTTTCTTCTCCTTGAATCCAGAAGGTGTGGCTTTATCCAGAGGAAGGGGAACTCGCTGGAGGACGGAAAGTTTGGTTTTGGTTGGACCCTGAGGAGCAATTGTGCGGACTGCCACTTGGATTTCCGTGGGAACATGAACTGGTCGCGTGGAGGTTTTTTCCCCTGCTCAGTGAGAACACAAACGATCCTTCCAGGGGGAGAAGGCCAAACATCCAGTTTGCAGGAAGGCTTCCTGACGAAAGGCAAAGACAAAAAACAACGTTAAACTCAGTGAAACAAAGGCTCAGGTTAGACTCAGCTAATCTCAGCTTGGCTAGAGTAAGTAAGATTAGACAACGAGTATCAATACTTTACTCAAGTACTACTGTTGAGTACTTCGTCCCCCACTGGACATATACAGTGGAGATTATTTTACTCCAGAGGGCTGAATAGGTGTGTACATGGATGTAAAACTGAATAACGATTGGGAAAAAAAACACCTCTCACATTCGGATTGAAATTTCTTTCTAAATTCAGAATTATTGCACAATATTTAAAGTAGAAACACTTAGGCTACGTTCACACTGCAGCCTGAAGTGACCCAATTCCGATTTTTTTGCCCATATGTGACCTGTATCTGATCTTTTTATGACAGTCTGAACGACACAGATCGGATTTTTTCAAATGCGACCCAGGCCACTTGGATATGTGGTCCTGAATCCGATACGTATCTGATCTTTTCAAATGCGACCTGTGTCTGTACGGCCAGGTCGCATTCATCCGACCTACACGTCATTAATACTTGACAAATGTTACTAAACGTTACTAATCTGCGTCCTACTAAGCGGAGGCGGGAAAAACTTACAACTTACAACCATGGCGGAAGATAATACAGAGAGCAGTCAATGGAGAGAAAGTGAGGTTGCTGACCTAATACATATTTGGAAAGATAGCTCGATTCAGACAAAACTAGAAGGGTCTTACCGGAACCGGGGGATATTTGAAAACATTTCCCGAGAAATGGCCGATCGGGGATACAAACGCTCCTGGATCCAATGCCAACGGAAAATCAAGAGCCTCCGGGCCAAATATAAGGAGGCTAAAGACGTAAACAAACGAAGCGGACGTGGACGTGTCACCTGTCCATTTTACGAAGAGCTGGACCGTGTTTTGGGAGACAAGCCCAGCGTTCAACCACTATACCTGGTGGATAGCTGCTTTGCCGGAGAGGAGCCCGAGGAGAGGAGCCCAGGTCCTGCCGCAAACACAGGCAGCGGCAGCAGCGGCAGCGGTGATACAGGTGGGTTATTTACATATAACGCAATAATCGGCTGTGACATTACGTGATGTCGTGTGACCTATTGTCATTTGTACATAGGTGATGGGACGCTTGCCTCACCTTCAACTCCTGCCTCAACCTCAGAGGAAAGTTCTACACCAAGAACTGATGATTCAAGCTTTAACAGCAGTACACCATCTACATCCTCTGGCTGTAAGAAAATCTCTATATATTGTCAGTTTACCCAAACTGTATAAAACAAAGAGTAATATTGTGCGTTATTTATTGAGAAAATGTTTTCTTTTATGTTCTGCTTGCTTCCTGAAATTCCTTTATTTATTGCAGGGGTGTCCAGCTCCAGTCCTCGAGGGCCGGTGTCCTGAAACTTTTAGAGGTTTCCCTGGCCCCACACACCTGAATCAAATAGCACAATTAGCTCCTCAGTATGCAGTCAGGTTCTTCAGAGTCCTGCTAATTAACTGATTATTTGACTCAGGCATGTCAGACCAGGGACACATCTAAAGGTTGCAGGACACCGGCTCTGGAGGACTGGAGCTGGACACCCTTGATTTATTATAAAGGTCCATAAACTACACTTGCCATTACCATAAATAAAGAAAATAGTTTAATTCTATCACAGTTTTAAATTCTCTTAATCTTACAGAAAAATAACAATGTGTAATGGTTGTTCTATTCTTTTTCTTAATACAGCAAGATCTGCTAAGAGAAAAAGAAATTCAAAGCTGGAGACAACACTGGAGGTCTTTGTTGACAAAATTGGCAGTGCCCTAAAAAATGAAGACACTGATCTTTTATTAAAAATGCAAGCAGCTCAGCATAAGCATGAGCTGAAAATGTTTTCCATGCTGTCCCAGTTCTTAGAGAGATCAAGCCACCCTCCTCAGCCACCGTTTTACCAGGCTCCAATGCAGCCTTCACAGCCTTACAGCGCAAGAGCACCTCCTACTCATCCCTCACCGTTTCCTGTAGTTCCAGGTCCATCCAACATCAGGCCTCTGTCCTTTCTTCAGGATTTAAATCAACCACTGCTGTTCAACAGTGCTCAATCACATTCACATGCCACACAATCCTTTTGTGAAACACTAGCTAATGCTCATGATTATCCTCCTGCCTTCCAGTCTGAAGATGAGGATGAAATGTAAGCACTTTTGAAAAGTCCTGATTTTTGTTTTGAAGGAAGCTGATCTGCATTTTAATTTAAATACTGCAGTTGCAATGAAAGGTTAAGTTTACTTTATTAGTTAGTACTTGAATTTAAGGTGCAATATTTTTTCATATTGATTGTTCTGTTTTTGTATTCGAAAACATTGTTAAATGTTGTTAAAGCTGATAAAGAAAATTGCACTACAAGAGCCATACTATTTTACCAGCAAAAACTGGTAACATTGTTGAAAACTTTATTTTTCTGATATTGAACAAAACATGTTTGAACATGTGTGTTAACAGTGGACCACCAAAAATAAAAATGTTGGTAATTCAACGTTGGTTACTGAAAAACTGAGTGAGTGCTTCTCTGACTCTTGCGGGCTGCACATCTGCTACATCACCTCCTTCTGCCCATCTTTCAATGGGAGGAACAGGTGCACCAGGTTCCTCGTAGGCCTCACCATGCATTTCACACATGTTGTGGAGTGTGCAACATGCACTTATGACATTGGTAACAGCAGAGATGTCCACATCTAGGCGTTTACCAAGGCATCTCCACCGGCCCTTCAGCCGACCAAAGGCCCACTCCACTGTCATCCTGGCTCTGCTGTGGCGTTCGTTGAAGCATCGTTGCTCGGCTGTCAGCGCTCCTGTGTCTGAATATCCTTTGAGCAGCCAGCTTCGAAGGGGGTAAGCAGGGTCACCAAGCAGCATGATTGGCACTTGAATACCCATTATCTCTTCAGTGATCTAAAATTTGTAAAATACACTAGTCAAATGAAATAATACATCATGAACAACATTTTATAAGAAATGGTTCAAGTGGTTAGTATGCAAAGCTCAAAATGAAATTGTTTCACCTAAGTTTGGGAAAAAAACACAGGAAATTTTATTCTTTTGCTCTTTTTATTGCAAAAAATGAACATGCATTCAAATGGTCATTTTTATCATTAGTGCAAAAGATAAAATTTTTTAAATATAGTCAGAAAAAAATCTTGAGGAAGTATCTTTAGGAAGTTGACCCAAATATATACTCTGAAACTTGAAATACTCCCAAGTTTCAGAGTATGGCTGGATTCAGTTAAGATTATCTCACCAAAATGCAGATAATTCATTTGAATATGTTAAGAATAATTTGATTGTACCTGGATTAACCTGATTTATTGTCTTGTTTTGCTGCTGCTCATGACATCCTCAAGATTTTTTTCTGACTATAATTAAAAAATGTTATCTTTTGCACTAATGGTAAAAATGACCATTTGAATGCATGTTGGTTTTTTGCAATAAAAAGAGCAAAAGAATAAAATGTCCTGTTTTTTTTTTTCCCAAACTTGGGTGAAACAATTTCATAGTACTCTAAATAATTGAGGTAACAATCTGCATAGACCTTTTTGAGTAGAATTTGACTCAAAACAAATAAGTTATGATAGCTTATATAACTAACACCAAAACTTAATTTTCCTTCAAAAATTTTAGTAATATTAAGTTAAATCAGCATTATTACGCATTTAGACATCAATCTAAATCATATTGGTTATACTAAAAAAGTTAAGTTTGTAGAACTATAAAAGTTTCTTGACATATACTTGATAATGCTTGAGTTGTAAGTACTTAAAAAGGTCCATGCAAATTGTTACCTCAATTTTTTTAAGTTGAACCATAATATTATTTTTTAGAGTGTAGTACTAGAATGTTAAACGCTTACTGGTGGAAAAAGCTCCCCCCTCTGCCAGGCAATAAACATTGGAAGTCCTCAGAACCCGGGCATCGTGGACGCTTCCTGGCCATCCAGCATAAATGTTGGTAAAGCTGTTGGAATACTGTGTTTATTTAATGCACTACAGTACTTTAAAATATGAAAATATCACTATTTCTTACCAAAATCGATGATCCACGACCCCCTGCAGGATAACTGAGTGCCACCCTTTGCGATTAAAATAGTCTGTGTGGTTCTCCTCTGGGGCGATTATTTGGATATGACTCCCATCTATTGCTCCTCCACACTGCGGGAAACCCCATCTGTGTTTGAAGCCTTCAATGACCTCCTGCAGATCCTCCCCCTGGGGTAGCTTTATGTACTCCGGCATGAGGATATCACAAACAGCTTTACAGAAGTCGTGGACCAGGGAGCAGACGGTGGACTTGGCTATGCCAAAGAGGTTGGCTATTGTGCGATAGCAAGCACCTGTAGCTAGCCAATACAGCCCCACGGCAACGCATTTACTCACTGGTATGCCCCGCCGAAGATGTGTGTCTTTGCGTGAGAGCGCTAAAGAGAGCCGTTCACAGACGCACATGAAGGTTGCCTTTTTCATTCTAAAGTTATGAAGGAACTCCTTATCACTAAAGCCGCTCACATCGCTATCCCACCATTCCTGGCTTCGACTCCGCACCCACACGCTTCTCTGTACGGACGTTGCTATTACTGCCCCACAAAACGCCATAGCAAGAAATCTAGCTCTCTTTCTTTTTGATCTTCTTAAAAAGATTTCGTTAGTAATGTGCCTGCTCCTGTTGGAGAAGAACTTAAATAACGCAATATACGCTGCGCTATTAAGAGTCATGTTTACTTCCGCAAACACTGAGGACGCTTGCTACATGTGACGTCATCGCGTCCTCGAGTGCGCATGCGGGACACTTCTGTTGAACGCTTTCAGTTCACACAGTAGATCACATACAAGTCGCATATACTTGGAAGTGTGAACGGACACGCAAAAAAATACGATTTCACAAAAAAATCGGAATTGAGCATTAAGGCCTGCAGTGTGAACGTAGCCTTAGAAAGCGGACAGTAAGCTTTATGCTGCGTTCACACCAGGCGCAGCTGGCGCGACAGAAGCAGCGAGTCCTGTCTGAACGTAGCATTAGAACTCGCTCCTTTGCCTCATTAAATGCAGCTTTGACTGAACTCACCCTTTAGGTGAGCATGAAACTATTTTATTGCACAAAAAACGTGTGAATTAGCTGCAATTAGCAAGTTTTCCAGTGGTTCTCACGCACGCACGCGCGCGCACGCTCACCCGCTGCTATGGAAACGGAGCACCTGTAAAAGTGGCAGACATCTTTAACGGATAATTTCTGACCTGGACCTGGAAGCTTGAACTGCTGCAATCTGTGATTTGCTAAACTGTTAAAGATGAGCACGCCACCAGAGGACAACAACTTGTGGGGAGATCATCTGGAAGGTTTGTTTCACTCTTTTACTATATAAATAAAAAAAATATATATATTGAAAAATTATTATTTTAAAGGTACACTATGCAACCGTTGTTGATTTTCCAGCGAGACTCCCCCCAGAGGGCGAAAGTAAAAGTGCACTGTCGTAAATATGCACAGCTGTTCTCCTGGTTTCTCCGTCAAGCCAGGCGCGGTTGTTTTGAGCTTAGCAAACAGGCGAACGCAACGAATGACTAATGCTGCGTTCACACCGCAGCTGGCGCGACAGAAGCAGCGAGTTTCCATGCAAAGTCAATGGTTGACGCGCGTCAAGGCGCAGCAAAAGGTCCCGCGGCGCGTTTTGAGGCAGCAGGCGCAGCACGTCTGAGCAGCTGAAGCAGGGAGAGAGACACAGCGCTGATGATCAGAGGCTATGATCTCTCCTCTTAAACAGTTTATTGACGCCTAAATTAACTTAAAATGCAGAAATCTGCCGGCAGAATATGCAGTTTGGATTATTTAGATCAAAAACACCTACCAGCTGCCGCGGTGAACTGCGAGGACGTGACCTGGCCAGAGGCTGCTGATGAAGGGGTTCCTTCTGTCGGCGCACCGCTGGTATGTGGGGGTCTGAGCGGCTCCGACAGAAAAAATATTGAAGGCAGGATAATAATCTGAATGAACTGACTGCACTGATTACGTTTTCAGGTGTATTTTCTCATTTAAACACATATTAAAACTACTTTATTCCAAATGATCACAGCAAATATAGCTGCAAGGCAGAGAAAGGATAGTGAAGCTCCGCCCAACGCGCGTCAGACACACTTTTGCACCGCACAGCCAGAGCAGCAAAGCTGCTTCAGCCGCGCGTCAGAACTAACTGGTTCAAGCAGCAAAAATTAAGCAGCAGACACGATTTTGCTGCGTCCGATGTAAACGTAGCATAACTGCACAAAGATCGCCACTGTGCTAGCAACGAGCATGCTTTTAACTGGGGGGTGTAGCAGTTCTCGGCCGTAAAGCAAGACTGACTCTCACGAGACTTCTGAGCCTGTGGGTGCGGGTCGGTGCTCCTGCAATTGCAAGTGCGGTTTTTCCCCCACAGACCACCAGGGCGGCCGAGAATACCTTTGTTCAACCTGAAATGACTCATTTAATCATCCAAAACGTTATGGAACCCATTAATTAACTGAAAAATGTTGCATAGTGTGCCTTTAATGTTTTTTCATGAAGTTGTGACAGCTAGCTTAGCATCTGGCATCCATGACATCTCAGAGATTAATTGTGTTTTTTTAATGAATTTGTCAGAAATGTTAACAGCGATTTAATTATTTGAAAAAAAAAAAAAACATTTGTGTTTCATCTTTGTTGAATTTTATGTGAAATGTTTGAAAACTAGATGGAGCTAGGTCTATTATTTTTAAAAAATGCCCTGGAAATAATTTTGCTCTGTATGGAAATGTTGGTAAAAATACATTAAATAACTATAAAAGGACATTAGAAGGACATTTAACATAAAATATAATCAAGCCAAACTGTTTATTTTCCTATTTAATAAAAGAAAAAGAGTAATTTGGAAATTAACTGAATTTTAACTAAAAAAAAAAGAAAAAAGAGATGAAGAATCTCAAGTTGTTTAGTTTAGTAAATGTGTTTAGGAAATGATATGTTTCTAACCAGTGTTTTAAAAAAAACGTTTTTTTTAAGGCGTACTATGTAGCCTAATAATTGTGTAGTAGTGTAGGATAACATAAATACACAGCATATGAATGAATAAATATATGAATGAATAAATAAATATATATATTTATGTAAATGTATATGTAAATATATATATGCCAACCAATCACGAGCGACTTTACTTGTTTAAAAAGAAGTGGTTCCGTCCAATACTCAGTAAGAAAATTAAAGCCTGGCGTGGCCACGTGTGGTTTTGCTGCCAATCACGAGCGATTTCACTTGTACTATTTTTTGCTGGCATTGTACTCTAGTACTGTACATTTTTTATGTTGCTGTTTGCACAAAACGAAGCCTTCAGTCTCAGTAGCTTTTGTTTTTTGACATAGACACCCCACTGCATGAAAAGTGAGATTTTCGTCCCCGTAAACTCCCGCAGATCTCCCTGATTTTCGTCAGTTTCCAACAATTTGCAACCCGCGCTTGTCCGCGTTTGTCGTGCCACAAATTGTCGGAAGCGGACTCTGACGTATGTGGAGAGCGATCAGCTGTACTAATGGCCCTAATTAGCATATGAATGCAGCAAACCCGCGCGGCTGGCCAGGTCTGGCTTGAATAACCTACTCAGTATTGGCTGAAACCACTATTCTCAAACAAGTGAAATCGCTTGTGATTGGCAGCAAAACCACAAGTGGCCACGCCAGGCTTTAATTTTCTTACTGAGTATTGGACGGAACCACTTCTTTTTAAACAAGTAAAGTCGCTCGTGATTGGTTGGCATATATATATATTTACATATAAATTTACATATATATATTTATGAATATATATTTATTTATTCATATATTTATTCATACATATGCTGTGTATTTATGTTATCCTACACTACTACACAATTATTATGCTACCATCAAGGACATGAATGAATTTATACAGGAAATGAACATTTGCCAGGAAGCTGTTTATGCAAAGAAAGAGCTTTATTAAAACCCACACAACTATATACAACGCGTATCCAAACACATGCGTATCTAAAAATTACAAGTCCGTGAACGGTCCGTTTGCTTCCTCGGGGTTGGAGGTAACTGGCAGCATTCCCTTTGAGGCAGGTCCGATGTGCAGACGCCTACTGTGCGTTGCCCTGTACTTCGGCATTGCTTCTAACCGGGACCGCAGCTTAACACAGAGTTCAGTGAGATCCGGCCTACGAAATGGCGGCGACCGTACAATCCATCCAGAGACACCGCCGACGACGCCATCTTCTTCGTCGGACATGAGGCCGACGGTGGCGGACTTCCAGAGTTCCACTTCCTCATCTGCTAGCACACTCTGCCTCGCTTTCAGCAGCTGAAAAAAAAACAATGAATCAGCGCACTGCGTATGGACACAACACATCTATCAATGCACCTGAAAAATTGTCACCAAATAAAGTCTTACCCTCTTTCTTCTGGCCCGACTCCGAGCAGATTGCTTGGCAGCCTCCGCACGCAACGTGTTGGCTGGCTGCGTATATCTGAAGCCCCTGCGTACCGTCTCAAAATACGTCTTACAGGCAGCTGGAAAACAATTAAATGAGATTGATATGAATAAAAAATCAAACGCAAGTCACAGTAACAAGGAAGGAGAAAACATTAAAACAAGTCACTTACACACAATGTCGTCTTTATCAACATCGTGCAAATCTGGACTTGCTGATATGGCTCCGAGCAAATAGGAGGTCTGTGAAAACAAAATGTACAGCTATGATCGGTATCCATCCGTATCCATTTCCTTTTACCGCAGAATGAAAGCATATTCTTTAAATCTTACCCTTGCTCCGGTTCATAGCGCCTGCAATTAGTCTCCGAGTTGTGAAGACGGAGTACTGCTTCCTGTGAATCACAAAAAATGCACTTTAATAAAGCTTGTTCTTGCAAGGCTACTATTAGCTTTAGGCTAGGCTGTTATTAGCCGTAGCTTTAGGCTAGGCTGCTATTAGCTGTAGCTTTAGGCTAGGCTGCTATTAGCCGTAGCTTAGGCTAGGCTGCTTTTAGCTTAGCAGGCAGTAATCGAACATATATTTACCGCTAGCTTCTCTTCTTTGAGTTGGTCTTGTTCGATGCAGAGTTGCCATCGCGTCCAAGAGGAGTTTTACCCCGAAATCCCACATACTCCGCTCCAGACCGCCTGCACAAAGCAAAGCATACATCCTTCTTCTTCTTCTTCTTCTTCTTCTGTTGTTTTATGGCGGATTGGCAGGCCAACGTAAAAGGTGCATTTCCGCCACCTACTGATCTGGAGTGTGGAGTGCACAATTTTGGAAGACTGCGCCATACCCAAAAAAAAAAGAAAAAAAAAAAGAATCCTATAACTAAATCCTATTAATTGTTCCAGTATCTTTTAGATATTTGAATAATATTTCATTAACTCTTGTTTGTCCTGTCTCGTTTCCTAACAGTGCTTTTATTGAATTCCCATTAATCCCTATTTTTCTCAACTCTTGTATGAACTTCATTCTCTCCCTTACATACGCAGTACACTCAAAAATATGTTGTACTGTTTCTGGATCTCCGCATTTGTCACAATTTCCTGTTTCATGTTTCCCTATTTTAAAAAGACTGTAGTTTAATGCTGTGTGACCTATTCTTAGCCTTGAAATAATTATATCTTTTTTCCTATTTCCATATCTTTTCCTCTCCTTTCCAATAAACTTTTGAATCTGATACAAATGTCTTCCTTTTGACTCATTATTCCATATCGTT